AAACTTTTACAAAGATTTCCACTGATTAAAATCTGTATGCCCGGCGCATCCACCTTTGAATAGTTGATCCGAAATTCAATCAATTCAAACTGCTGCGCATAAATCAAGCGATGCAGTTTACCGACTGTGAAATGACGACGTAAAACACGCCAATAAAAAAAAACTAAAGAAAATGTATTTTTATTTTAAGTTGGCGAGAGCGAAATTTGTTGATTTGAATGTGAGTTATGTCGAAGAGTTAAAAAGCAGCCATGAATATTTAGCAGGGTCGAGTTGAGGCGAGGCGCTAGCTGGTACTACAAATATTATTCCCTTGCGAAGCGTGAGAGTGAAAGACGAATGATTTTTCGCCCGCCGGCCATCCCGGTCGGCGAGCAAACAAAAAACACACCAAAGTGTCACGAAGAAAACCCAAAACCGCAGTGGAAAACCAACCGCAGGTATAAAATTAGTAAAAGTTAGACTCGGTATAAATATAAATGTGTATGTGTATTCACTATGAATGTGAATATGAATAAATTGTAAGTTGAGTAGAAACTTTTATTTTTGAATTTCTGTAAAGAAATTTTTAGTTTACGATTGATAGCACATCGAGTGGAAAATTTTTGCACGCCGTAATAAACTCAACAACCTTGTAATTATTCACAGGATGCAGTGGTGAATGCAGATGCATAAAATCAATAATGCTCGCATTCGCATTCGAACATAAACAATATAAACTGCAGCCGAAGCGTTCGTATACACAAACTTTGTATCCCTTTAAAATGTCAATTGTTTTCGTTTACAACCCGGCTACATTTCTGACGTTCGTCATTGATTGTGTGTCTTTAAAAGCACTGGGATTTTTTCCACGGCTTTGTTTCGTGTTTTCTGTTTATGACCGTCGCTTGGACGATTTTATTACGTTTTTGTTTCGTCTGCCCGCAGCGCTGCAAAAAACTTAATAAAATAGTTACGGCAATAATCGGCGTTTGTTTGAGTGTTTTACTGTTTGCAGTACGAGTAAGTAAACTTGAGTTTTATGCGCGCGTTTTAGAATAAATTGTTGCGTATTGAATAACATTCTCTCACTTTACTCGCGTGGGTAATATTCAGATCACGATATTCATGATAGACGTGAAAGTTTCGTGAATGCTGCACACACGACTCGCGCGTTGCTTCTTATCTTATATCCGAGAAGTCATCACATCTGCCGGCATTGTCGTACGATGGAGCACAATAAGTGGGCATGTAATTTAATAGCGAACTATTCGGGGCCAGCCGAAACATCACCGCACAGTTTGAGCGCGCACATTGTTTCAGCGCGCGTTGCAGACGCTGAGTTTCACAACTGCGCGCCCGGTTTGTGTATGAGTATAGTTGGGAAACTCGCGAGCCCTCGAGCAGGACCATGCCTGGCTCGAGCAGGACTCCTTCGGCGAGTTCCGGATGCGGGACGGGATGGCGAGGGGCATGTTGTGCGAGTTTATGTTCTCATAATGTAATGCAAACAAATCGATGCATAGGTAAGGATAAATATTTAATGTCGTACGTACGACGTTGTAGTTTATTGATGTTTGCATTAATGTTAATTATTTAATGTGGGAAAGGATGGTTATTGTTTTGTGTGGTTAAAGGAGAGTGAAAACTGTGAGTTTTAATCGCTTTAACGTAAAAATTTATTAATTTTTAATATTTACGGTAAATTGGGCTATAAATGTTTATTATTGATTATTATTTTAGTTTTTAATATTTTATTTTGTTTATTTTTGTAATTATTTTACAAGAAATAACGTTTTTACGCTGTTTCAATTTTTAAATGCTTATAACTTTGCGAAAACTTGTCTTATTAGATATTTTAGTGAATAAAAGTTTGTTTGTTACGCTTTCACGCCTATACCATTGAAGCAATTTTGATAAATTTTGCTATTCAGGTATTTTAGGTTTAGGAAAATCAAATAGGCTACTTTTTGTCCCAAAAAATAACTAAAAAGGTGTAAAATAAGGGATGAAAGTTGGTTTGAAGGTTCAATCATAGTTTTTCATGCATTTTTTTTGAAATTTGACTTAATAAACTATTACTAATTCACATCTTTCTAAACCTGGTGAAATATTAAGGTAATGATTCAATCTATTTTTTTTAATTTTTATAATTTTTTAATTTCTTAGTTTTTTAATGCGTCTAAACTGATTCCTTCAATAATTATACCTTACCCTGCTTTTTTACGTATTTTAATATAATAAAAGATGACAATTAAGCGATTTTTGCTTCCTCTGCGCTTGTTCGCACAATTACTTTGATATTAAGCCGATGTGCAAAAAGCATTGAAAGCAATAAGACGATAGCCGCACGTGGCGTTCGCGAGAATGCGGCGAAACTAACAATGGGAAATAAAAGAAACGTCTTCGGGCGCCGTAGTTTGCACAAAATGGCTCAACCACCGCGCGGGCACGATATCGAAAGCTCGTTATAAGCAAATCGAATCCGAGAAAAACTGCTCCGCCGCTCAGCATCCGTCTTCGCCTTCAAAGCGCGCCACCCGGGCTCTAAAACCAACAACTCGACTCAATCGAACACGCGGAACTTTTAAATAACTTCACGGTTCACGCCTCGCGACCACAGAACTTTTTCGCACCCCTTCTGTTTTATACGAGTTTATGCAGGTTGTTAGGCTTAGGTTTGAGGTTAAGTTACGACATTTCTATATATTTCCAAAGAAGAAAAAAATTCAAAATTTTTTTTTACTTTTTTGATGAAAATCATTCGTATAAACATATCGAAAGCTTACATAATTGATTACGCATGATTTGCGTTACGAGAGGGACGGTATGTGGTCGTAAAGTATTATTCGACATCATGCGCATTACACGCCGAAAATTTCCATAAATTGACGGCGCGGACGAGGCGTGGAAAGGCATTAACGTCCTTTGGAGGTTTTTTTTTGTCGGCCGTTCATTTTTATTAGGCGCGCGCAACAATAATGATTACGCGAATTTTATTTGCACGTGCTGCGCGGCACAAATAAGCTCGCAGTGCTTACCATTAATCGTCCCTGTTGGCTCATTGTCGTTGTTGATAGATGGCGAATTAAAAAGAAGTGCCAACAGCGGATAAATTTCATTATTGTTATGCAAATTTTTATGCGTGCGTTAATTTTAATTTGAATTCAATAAAATTATTGAGATTTTTATATTAATTATAGGTACAAAAATTGGATTTTATAAATTTTAATTATTAAACTGGAATTTAAATTGTATTCTTTTTTTACAATTTTTACAAAAACTACAGCAAAAAACAAAGATTACTATCTTATTGACAATTTTCCAATCTTCCATAATTTACAATTTTGTGGTTGCTATCTATTTTAGTTTATGAGATATTAATTATCGAAAATCGTTGATAAAAATTATCAAGCAAAATTATCTTGGCAATTTTTTCTTAAGAATTAAAATTTCCTCTCTCTGATTTACGTTTTAAGTATCTTATCTTCTAGAGAATAGTTCGTAGATTAAGATGCTGCGATCAGATCCTAATTATCTCTTTTAGTTTACGAGATACTCGCGATTGAATAAAATGGGAATAAATTGAAAAATGTCACTTTTTAGCACTTTCAGTCGCGTTTTTCGACCTTTTACTGTAGGAAATATAATTATTTTATATTTTTATCTGATAGAGAATTTTCCAGTCTTTCATAATCAGCGATTCGTTGGTTATCGAATATCCTCGATAAAAATTATCTGCCCATTTGTTTATGCCCATTTTTTTATGAATTAAAATTTCATCTCTTAGATTTCCTATTTAACTGCCATACTTTATAGCTAATTGTCCTTAGATTATGATTCGGCGATTCGTTCCTTTCTATCGCTATCACATTGAGGTTTTTAATCATTAGACTCTTGACAATGTGTTAATTTTGTGTAAAAGTTGACCATGGAAAGAAATATCACTTTGTCCGGAAAACACACCATATGTCTTGTACCAAAGGAGAAAATCGCAACATCTTGTGTTCATATGATACTTAAGAGTTCCTTAATAACTTACGCATCTTCCCGACCCTCTCAACTTTCTACAAGTGTTCTAATAATGGCTTGCAAATCGTCATTATTTTCTCATTTCAAAAAGTTGGCTTAGATTATACACATTTTGTTAGTTTCTAAAGTCCATGTTATAGTTTAAGAGACGCTCTTCATGTGAATTGACAATATGTACTACTGCATACAAAAGTGGAAACACGTGGAAACTTTAATTATTGATTATAATAATCTAAATTGTCGCAATCATAGATGGAACTAGGATGCACTAAAAATCATAAAATCGAGTTATACGGTTTATTTTTATATCTATCGACAAACGTGGGCACGAGAATGGTTTTGTATACAATGCTGTTATCTGCGATTCGGTGTAAACAAGATTTTTAACGCATGTGTCCCGCGCGCTGTCTCCTAGCGCCGCATCAACTTGCTGCAATGTGCCTATTGCAAATTCGCGCACAAAGTCGCGTGCCTTCGACGCGTCGTCTTTGCGCACCTCTTGCTTTCTTATCATATACTGTCTCGTAGTTGTTTACGCAGTTTCGGCATGCACTATCGGGGGATTGCAGCCAGTTTCGTGCCGGTCGCTGATTAATCCAGTCGTGTTTTGAGTGACTTATATCGTTTATTCGGACTTCAATATTCTAAATTTGTGTTATACTCGAAGATCAATCGACTATTCATTTGTTTTTTTGCGATTATAGTAATTTGTTTAATGTTCGGAAATGCCAGTTTTTGATCGCGTTTGTTATGTATATTACAAGTCACGTGATAGTGGATTTGATAACATTCTTCACTCGGCGTTGTGTTTGGTGTCGGTTACTAAATTAATCGAATATATATCGCCCCCATGTGGATTCTTATCATTTAAAAAAATCCTTCAGGCTCGTGTGAGTATTTTTAACTAAACAGCACACATTGTTTATTTTGTGTTGATTGTTAATTCAATTGTATGAAATATTTTAATTTTAATTTATGTTTTCGTTTAGTTACAGCACTCGTTGTGCCTGGCAGTCCGAAAAGCTGTACCCTGGTAAGTTTATAATTCAATTATATTTTTCGATCAAATTTACATTTGCTGTTTATAAACAAGTTTTCTATTTATCACGTACTACCTACCTGCCGGGCCGAAAAGAGGGGGGTCAACTGGGATAAATTCTTTGGGGCCCGCTGATCACTCTTAAATCGCAAACACAAAAAAATAACTATTACCGCGCTGGCTCTCGACGGCACTGTCTTTTCCTATGACGTCACAGAAATAAAGAAATAACGTATGAAATAAATCAAAATGAGCACGCGGAATATATGAATTTATCAGTTTGCGAAAATATAGTGAATAGCGCGCCCACATCACCTTGAAACATATTTCAACCCAAGTCCGAACTTTGCCTCGCCTGCAACATCTGTATCAGCGGCACTTCCGCTAAACACATGCACGAACGCGACTTCGTATAAATTACGGGCACGCTTCGAGCGCACGCGCTCGAATTTATCAATTCGAAACATTAAACTATTCCATGCATGCAGATAGCAGCTTTCCACTTGATGCGCGCTCCACAGAGAGCACAACTTTAGATGACAGATAGAAACGTGAATTTCAACGTTGAACGGCTGCACCCAAGTTCTGACATTGCAACTGCGACGTGCGGTATTTTATTGATAAACTGGTTGCGGAAAAGTACCCTTGACCAATACCACCAAACACCACCAGAGGGCGCTATTGTTTTACGTCAACGTCTTTGAAAGCAAAATTTCGAAGTAAATGTGATTGATATACAATAATGAAGTTAATGTGTGTACTGCGCATGCGCACAGAATGTAAATGCAAATTCATGAATAATATAATGAGCGCAGGGTGTCGGAATTTACATATTACATATTACAATAGTTGTCAGCTCATTGCGATCACACCGAGCGATTTATTCCAACTCAAATAATTTGTGGTTGATTAAAAATGTATGCGCGCAAATTACGCAGATAAAATTATCTAAATAAACATTAAATTTGCACATTTTATTTCATAGTGTTACATTATGATTAAATTATTGGTGCAATAAATGCGCGATTATGGCTTTAATAAAGTCAACAGATATATTGGTTTTGCCAATTTTAGGTTAGGCATTATGCGGCTTGCTCAATTTGTAGGGTGCGGAAAAAAGTTTGCGAGTTGTGAGCCAAGTTTAATTTCCGGTACATAGTGCTGTGTGAGAGTTGAGCGTACATTGCACAAGCTGGAAATTTAAAACCGGAAACGCTGTAAACTTCAATTCGATATTTCTCTATATTTCAATCAATGTAGCTTTTAGTGGTGGAACAAGGTTTTCATTCTTGTCTTTAGAAAAGTGTGCTAGCAGAAAGTGATATATTACTTTTAGTTTGAGTTTTTTTGTCGGGTTGATTTCAGGGTGGAAATATGAGGCGAGTAATTTAGTCAAGTAGTTTAGTAGAAGTTTTAAATATAAAAATAATGAAATTTTAGGGAAATTTTGATTTTATATTATAAGTAAGTGATTTAGTTTAGTAGTTTAGTCAAGTAGTTTAGTAAAACATTTTAGTAGGAAGTTTCTATGCAAAAATAATAAAATTTTTAGGAAATTTTTGTTTTATAATTTGGGCAATTGATTTAGTAGAGTACTTTAGTCGAGTTTATTAGTAAAATGATTTAGTAGAAAGTATCAATGCAAAAGCAATGAAATTTTATAAAAATTTTTGTTTTTATATTTTGAACAAGTGATTTAGTAAAGTAATTTAGTCAAGTTTTAGTTGAGTAAAGCATTTTAGAAGGAAATTTAGACACAAAATCACCGAAATTTTTACAAAATTTTTGTTTTTATAATATGTCAAGTGATTTAGTATAGTAATTTAGTCAAAACTTTTAAATTGCTTTAATTTTTGCGCTTTGAAAATCGCTTTCTACAGCAGTAAATAAAACTAGTTGTAATTCATGAAGGCAATCCTGCCGTGTAATTGCAGCTCAACCGAAATCCTTAATTAATAATAAAACAGCTTAATAGCTGAACGTAATTAGAATTTTTGGCCATTGCGACCGCCATTACGAATGCAACTGAGTTCTGCGTGCGAAACCAGCCGGAATGGGTTTTAATTAAGCAACAACTAAACCGGTCGACGACCAGCGCACGCGAAAAGCCAACCAAAGTCAACCTGCGAGCGCGCGTTTTCATTTTCATAATCACACGGATGAGTACTTCTCTCGACCTGTGGAGAGATGGCCGGCTGCACTTTACACCGCACTTGCCTAAAACATACACGGATACGCTGATGCCATTTTGCGCGGTGTTGCCGCCGCGTAAGCTGCTCATTAAAGCGGCGCCGACTGCCATCAAATGATAGCAAAGTGCTTAAATTTTAAATTCACATTGCATATTTCTATATTAAGACTTCTACAGAGCGTTAGGAAAATATTTTAGTAGAGTGGTTTAGTGATTAGTTTAGTTGTTTAGTAGTTAGTCAGGTAGTCAAGTAACATCACTGAAATTGTGATTTTTGACGGAGAAAACCCGGAAAAACGCGCCAATTGCCATAAAATGATAGAAAAGTGTTCAAATTCTAAATTAATATTGCATATTTCTATATTTAGTCTTCTACAGTGCGTTGATAAAATATTTTAGTAGAGTGACTTAGTGATTAGTTTAGTAGTTAGTCAAGTAGTCAAGTAACTTGACTAAAATCGTGATTTTTGACAGACAAAACCCGCAAAAGGCCACAAAATGATGAAAAATGCAAACATTTAAAATTAACATTGCATATTTTTATATTCACCCTTCTACAGCCCGTAAATAATTTTTTAGTACAGTTACTTAGTGATTAGTTTAGTTGTAAGTCAAGTAGTCAAGTACCTTCCTAAAACCGACAAAACCTTTTGACTGACAAAACCCGGAAAATGTATTTACTCTTGTGATAATGTGCAAAAACACTCGCACTGATGTGGTCACGGAAATTGGCGGCAGCGGCGGCGGCGAACAAGAATTGCACGGATAAGATTATCCCGTTTCGCCAGTCATCAGCGTTCGTTTACGACGTCGTCGCGGATGACTGCCGCATGCTAATGACGCTGATGACGGCCATGATAAAACAAACAAAACGCGTTTTGTCGCCGGTTGCCGCCGACGAGCAACAAAACTTGCGGCGCGCGGCGCAATGGTCGTCCGCATTGTGGTATCAGCTATGCGGTGGGTGTATTTCGAGTGAGTGGAATTTGGACATCAAAGGTATTTGCAACTGAGTCAGTCGTCGACTTCGGTCTCGGAGCACGTATGAAAATATAATTTTCCAAGGCATAATAATGTCAAGTAGCTACCTTTAGCTCTATCTCGAACATTTGCTATTTGAACCTTCAATTTGGATTAAAGTTTGGATAAATATGACCTCGAATAGTTCACAAGGTTATATTTGACGTGATGGGGAGGTGAAAATGTGTTGAAAGTTGTTATTTTTGGGAATGCGATTAATTTTTAAATTTTTGAATAGATAATGTTTTTGTAATATATGCAACCCAAACCACATAACCTAAAAATGTAAATTTTTCAAAATATGAGAAGTTTTTCACGCCTCGTAATAGTATATTAAGTATAAAGTGGCTAAACTGGTGTTTTTGTCACCATGTGACTAAAGCTCGTGACTAAAGTATTTTAGTCAGTTAATTTTGAGCTTTTGAGACGAAAATTATCATTTTAGGTTAGTCTAACCTAGAGTATAACCGAAAATAATTCAGTTTAGTCATTTTTTATCAAAAATATTTTGTTCTAAGTTAGGCAACCCAAACAACAAGACAAAACCGTGTTTTTTACACTTTTGCCTTTTAAAACTAAAAAACTAATTAAATAATCTAATCTAACCTATAATATAACCTAAAATTCTTCACATAATGAAGTTTTAGTTGATGGATAATAAAAATAATTAGTTTTCCACATGAAAACTTGTTTTCTAAGTTTTTTTCTTGTTTTTTTTATCAAGTAAGTTTTATTTCTGTGATTTTTTTCTTGTTCTAACCTCCTTGCAATTTTCTCTATGGCCGGATGTTCACAGCATTCGCATGACGAATGGCCAACCTGCAACAATTTTAATTTGCCAACCTCGGACCTGTCCCGACAATGAAACACCGGTCGCGGAATGCGACCGAGAGCAACAACGCGCATAAAAACATCAAATTTTATCACTAATTGCATCCCGGCAAATGGAGCACTTTTATGACTTCCTCCCTTTCGGACAATCTTTTCAAACATCCTCGCGACGCTTTTCACCGCCATTCCGGCGACCCTTGGGCGACTTTTATTTTCCACGCAAATAGAAACCCACCAAACAAATCTCCTTCTTTCTCCTGCTGCTTATATTCGCAAAAATATAAATCCCAATATTATTTCCGCTGCATTGTACTCGTACCAATCTTTGGAATTATTTATTTAACTTCTATTTTCTTCGGATTTTACTTTCTTGTTTTCGAGATCGACAAACAGGTATTTTGCTCGTATTTTGTACCTGTGACTGGTTATGCAATACCAAGTTCAGAGGGAGTTTACTTATTCAGTGCTTTGTTTATTGTTTATTTATTTAGACGCGGAAATGACGCGGCGGTGAAGTCTCGGCTTGATTCCGGAAGAAATTTCGGTCTTTGGCGGGCTGTGCCTAACTTTGAAGCGAGTGGCAGCCGCGTGTATTTAAAGTAAATGTTGATATTCACCGAGTTTGCCATATAAATCTGCGACGCATATAAAATTCATGCGGAATATTGAAAGCTTTCGCGAAGGAGATATATAAACGCAACGCATACAAATTCGTTTTTCTGTTACATCCAGAAATGACTAAATATAAATTAAATATTTGCTTTTGATTGATTGGAAATGAATATGAATATAGACGCAATCCGCTTAACAATAGCTGCAGAATATTAGCCAGATTTGAGGTTATGATAGTAGCCTGTGACCGACTGAATTGGGATTTCAAAAACATCAAAATTATACAAATTTATTATTTTTTCTACTTTTTCACGGTTTTGAGACACACAAAGTGGTACTTTAATCACGGATGGCCAAAGCCGTGACTAAAGTACTTTAGCCACGGGCTTTAGTAACGAGGTGGAGTTTGCGCCTGAGCATATTTTCAAAATTGAAAAAAGTCAAGAGAAAATATTAAAAAAGAAAAAAAAGAAAATTTATTAAGAAAATATTTTAAAAACAAAACAAAATCAATAAATAATATAAAAATATAAAAATAAATAATATAAAAATTGGTTTTTGGTTTACCTTTGCAAAATTCAATTGTTTTTCTTCTTTTCCCTTTTCCTCTTTGTACCTTCCCGAATTGTATAATGGGTCCACATCCAATCTATTAAATACTTGCAAATCGTTTATATATTTAACGCGTGACCGTCCTGTGCGGCCGGCCATTAGTTAAACAGAACAATGCCCGCTTCTCCTACGTTTCCGTGGCGACGCTTTTTCGGTTCTGGGAAAACTAAACTAAATTACTATCAATTTATCCCCCTTTGCGCACGGTTGCCCTGTGTCCACAATCAACTTGTATTACTTTCCACCTCTGCACACAACCGGTTACCGTTTTAAAGATATAGGTATAGGTATATAGCTATAAGCTATAAGTATCAATATAAGCTGGAGATACAATTCAAAATTATTGCATTGTATTGCGTTCTTTGCGAAAATTGTTACAACAAAATATTGCAGGGACATAAAGCGGAAATTGGCGGAAATTGTATAACTTGCTGATTAGTTTTAAACCTCACGTCTCACATGCATTCGAAAGCTCGGAACAAATGAGCGCACATATTGGCTACTAATTTCTTGGCTCAAGCGGAAATTGCACGGAGAGAGGCATCGATTTCGTGCATGCAGCAGATGGCTACACGTGTACAAACATGAAGTACGAGATATGAAATAGCTACATATATGCGCTCATTCAGAGAACGCGGAGGAAATTTACAAGCGTTTCTATCAATTTTGTACAAGTGGGTATTACGCATCACATATGCATAGTTTTAATGAATGTGGATTCATTAGTAATATAGGAAAAAAAAACAGAAAAACGCAATTTACTGTTAATTAATCTTCATTTAACTTTTAACCCTTATTTTCCCATTTTAAAGTTTTTATTTTTTGACTAAATGAAGTTTATGTTATTCTCAAAGGTATAATCTATCTGTACGATAAAATTTATCAAAATTGGTTGAGTGGTTTTCGCGTGAAAGCGTAACAAACATACAATTAAACTTGAATTCATCAATATCTTTTTATTAATGCATTTATTTTAAAAATTCAAAACAAAAATAATTTTATCTTTTCATAGAACTCATCAACATTTATAAAACTCTAAACATTTCATAATAATAACCATAATAACAATATTTACCTATTCAAACCCTCATAACCCCAACATTTTTACTCTCTGTAAATAAAAATTTCACTTTCATGCAATTTTATTTAATGCATACCCACTGCTTATAAGTGTATGACGGGCGAGCAGTTAGTGTATTTGCCTTACTTTATCCGCGTAATTTGCACCGGTTTCCTCGGCGCTCGGATGGTAATAGCCCTTGGGTTTCCCACGATAGTGTGGCAGCGAGCGCATAATGGTAACGCACTAACTGCGGAGAGCGGTAACAAATTACCATCTGAGGATGATGCGCTCACGTGCGTGCTCTATCTGGGCGGCGGCGGCGGCAGCGAAAAGCGTGCAGATGAAGATCGGGGATAGCGTCGCAGGCTCTACATCGTGTATCATGCGGATGCGCAGATACCCTTTTCGCCAAAAACGCAAACCTCTTTAACGCATTCGTGGATATCTTTTTGAGGGGCGGTGCAGGGGTGGCAAGGGGTCTAGGCGATTAACTGAGAGAAGCAACATCTGGCAGTGAACGCAGATAGTTCTATCTTATCATATTCTAGGAGTTGGAAAGGTTTTTTAACAGAGTTTTTAGAAAAAATGATTTTTTTTTTGGAAAAAAGTGAAAATGGTTTGTTTGTGTCGCTTTTACCCAAAAACTATTCAACTAATTTTGATACATTTTTGTATGTAGATAGTTTAGACCACGGAAAATGATATAGGCTACGTTTTGTTGCAAAAATATAACTGGAAGGGTGTAAAATAAGGGTTGAAAATTAAATTGGGAATTTTTGTTAATATTTGGTTATTTTTGGTTATAAAATTCAACACGAAATGGCGTTAAAACGTATTATTTTAGTTTTTGCAAATAATAGCTTCATTATTTGCAATTATAGAAGATTTACACTCGCATACTTCTTCAACTAAGTATTTGCTTTGTTGATGACAAAAAAGAAAACACAACGAAAACTCTTCGCAAGTCTGCGCGGCGCGGCAGCCGCGCTTGTTCCCGCACATTATTTTCTATCACCGCCACCAGTGCCGCCGCCGATGCGAAACGAGCCCGCAAAGTTTACAAAATGTAATTATACAATCCAACCGCCTTTATATACGCGTGTTGGCAATGGCGGCGCAGCCATGCGCCTGCAAGTCAAATTATATCGCGCAATTTCGATACACTGCTTGCTGTTTTAAGAGAATCTTAAAGAGGTTGAGGAAACTTTATGGGGCTATTTCGCAGGCAACACACAGCGCAGTTGAGTGTATTAAGTTGCGGAAGATTTATTGTTTGGTAACTGCGATCAAGTTTAACGATATTTGCCGAGTTTCGAGTGTGTTGCGAGAATTAATATTGACTCACATATAATCTTCCTGTGGCGTGTTCAATTATTCGGAGATAATAGTTTTGATTGTGTTTGCTGAACTTGTAATTAATTTATTCCGACAACTTCAGGTAACTAAACATAGTTAAATTCATTATTTCATTGTTTTGATTTTAAAAATTTTATTTTTTGCGTTTTTTCTTGGGTAAATTGATAAAAATAATTTTTGTTTGCGAAATATGTTTATTATATAAATTGGCAATTTATTCGCAACGTCAAACACATAATCTATGAATATTTTTACTCGTGTATATAATTTTAAAAGATTTCATAAACAAGTTGCGCCCCGAGGTGAAATATTAGCCCGCCTGCATTCGAGACGGAAAAAAGAAACGATAATGGAACATTAATCGAAATTGCTCAAAGAGAAAATTATTAAATTCGCCTCTCGAACAAATTCAGTGGAAAAATTGTAATTTCATATATCGATTTTCGGCGTTTGGCGCGCGCGTGCGAATTAATCTAAACCGTGTCAGTGAAAGCAATATCAGAAACCTGGCGAGAGCAAAAATTAGATTTCCCGAGTAATCCACGTATAATTGAGTAATACTCACTCAACCTCGCGCCTCAAATTTCGCATTTGATGTGCGAACTTATCGTCTTTTTCGTCCCCGAAGCCACCTGACGTCCTCCCACACTTTCTCCCTCAGCGGCTTTATGTCTTAATGACTTATGGTCTCAAACTGTCGCAATAAATTGCTCACAGTTGTGTTAACATTTCAAATGAGAATTATATAGGCGCGATGCTTTACTCGTAACTTTGGGATGTGTATGAATATTCATTTGTGATAATTATTTATAAATATCTCCAAAACTAATAAAGTTAAATTAATGTATTTGACAAAAGTTTATTTCGTATTAAATTCTTGATAAGATTTCGTAAACATTTTATTCATAGTATTTTTTTGTTAGAAGTTACCGACGTTTTTCTAAATTTTTGGCAATTTTTTTTTGAAAATTTTAATTTTGTTGATTATAACTTCTTTAAAAATAAATTTTTTAATTCTGAATGTACTGATGAAAAAATTATCATTGTAGCTAAAATACTTTACGAGTAATTTACTTTTTAATTTTTTGATTTTTTGCCTAACTAAAAGTTATGTTTTTGTAGGTTACGAAACGACAGGCAGCAAAATTCACCAAGGAATACTAAGAGCGCAGAAAACTGGCTAAGTGAGTAATTAAAGTTTTGTTTTCCGCAGTCTTCTCTATTTTCTTCTTATTTATACCTCAAGTTTAAACTTCACAACTTTCAAGTATTTAAAAATTCAAAACACCACAAAAAATTCATGTTAGACATCAACAAAAATATTAAAACTGAATATTTCCTTGAAAAAATATTTAAAATTGAAGCAGACATGATGTTTGCCTGAAGATATTTACGCTCAAAAATGTTTAACCTATGTAAGATTGATTGTCAGACACGTTTGAGACCGAATGCGATTTGTTTTCTTGTGTGTCATGCGCGCACAGAACAAAGATCGTAAGTGAAACCTGGCGAGGATTTCAATAAGTATATTGCGACAGGAAATTGCGAGTAGGTAACAATCATGTGAGCGCACGCAATGGTTACATATCGTTGGCTTGAGGCCGCCGCCACTGCCACCGCCTCGCGCTTTGACGTTCCATTTATAAGCGTTAATCAAGTCTTGCCAAGACAATTAAAGTTCAACAATGGAACAAGCGGGCGTGCCAGAATTATTTGGAGGTAATGCTGGTGAAATAGGTTTGGATAGGATTGGTTTGAGGTTAGTTTTCAGGGTTTTTCATTGTTGGCTTTATGAAAAGTGAAAAAAAAACAAATTTTTGCAAAAATTCGAGTTTTAAAAATTATTTTTTAGTTTTTATTTAATTACTCAAAAACTATTAGTGATAAAATGCTAACTCCTACATAAATTAGTAGAGTATAATATTCTACAAAAAATATATGATATTCATGTTATTTGCATTAATATACAGGGAGTTATAAACAATTAAAACTGAGTTTTCAAAAAAACAAAAAAAAATCGTAAATTTACTTATAACTTTCAATTAAAACTGATTATAAATTAATTTTTCACAAAATAAGATGTGAAATATACCGCTAAGTATTTTAGTGAAAAAAATATTAATATTCATCCATGCATTTCTGAATAATTAAACATTTTTCTCCCGTGCGCAGCGCCTCCACCATTCTTTTCCACGCGTGAAAAAACCTTTCTCTCCGCACGTTCATTAAAACCAGGACATTGTATATATATGAGAATTGCCTGCGACAAACGTCGCTTTCGTTTCTGTCGCTTTTCACCCTGCAACTTGCGGTCGTTATCATATTGAAGGGCGAACCTTTTTGCGTTCGGCCGAATGACGCCAATTGCAAAAGACTTTGGGGCACTCGTTGGCCTTTTTAATGTAGCCGACATGACGCTGATGCACAGCGCGCACGTTGATTGTGCGCTATAGACTTTTATTATTTCTCTTTTCCACACACACACACACGCACACAATAAACACACACAAAGGTAGCAGCGCGAAACGACACAGCATCACGCGCAAGATGAAAAAACGTGATGGCACGTGCAAACAAAAAAAACTTCGTTTGAAGGTTAAATTCGTGCTTGCGCGGGCGGAAAATGCTATTATCAAAGGCATTGTCATTGTTAACACGCGGACGTTTGAAAAATTTTATTTTATAAACGCAACAATTTGTGTTTTCTTTACACAGAGGAAATAGATTACGTATGCGTAATGATGTGAAAAGACATTTACATTGAGAATTCACATTGCACCCAAGCGGAAAATTTGACAATTTGTTAGATGAAGTAAATTGATCACGGGTCGTCATAACTAATCCCAGCTCAAAGTTTTGGCCTGCAAGGCGTCGCATTAATTAACTACCACTGCGATTGGATGACCCAAGCGCCTTGCAAATGGAAGAAGCTACTAATCGCAGTGGTCAGTCAATATTCACCAAAATCCGCAAGCGAAAATTGATGCTTTTCTGATGCCAGCTCAAACCCGGAAGCTAAAATGGTCCAAGCTGACTTAATGCCAGCGTCACCACTAAGGGACTCAAGGCCCTCATCAGATTCACGTATCTGTGGGGTAGTCCTGGAAGCAATCAGCACAAAGGGAACCAATTTTAACCAAACCACAATTCCAAAGACTTACAACCTGCAAGAAGCAAGGAACATTCGATTAGCAATAAAGATATTAGATATCCATTGAGTTCTAAAATGGGCCATGGGGCCTTGGATATTCTTTGTAGTAGTTGAAAGATAAATTGTGTTGTTGATGCGCTGTTGGACTGAAATTAAATTATAATAGCATATCGCAATCTCTTGTAGTCTTATCACGGATGCACTCATAATGACGACGATGCGAGCGGGTCCTGTGCCTCCGAGTGCACTCTATACAATTGCTCAACACAAACGTAGGCGAAGACCGTGGAGGAGCGTAGAATGGCTGGGCGAGTGTCTGCTGATGAAAGCTTCTTTATGCGCTTGCCAGCTTCAAATATCTGCTTCAATATTCTCCTTGGGGGCGCACTCGCTTTCGGCTTAAACTATGTGTTTCTCTAATAAGGTGAAGTGGGATGAGGGGCAAATGGGACAAGTGTATGGCCGGTATTTATTCTCAGAGAAATCTAAATTGTGCTTATGTAACCTAAAGAGGAATATATGATTTTTTGGTTTTTTGTTTATTACTCCAAAACTAATTAGCATAATGGGATGATTTTTTTAAAAATTGGTTTAGTGTTAATTAGTCTATCTAAATTATGCAATATTTCACCTATTATACTTTTTCTTCAACAATTATTAGGTATTTTGTGATAGTTTTTGGTGTAAATTTTAAGAAATGTCAGATTAATTTGTTTATAACTTTTTGTGTAATAGCGTTATTAACCACATCTTTACAGAATAACATTCCAATTTAACTAGTAACAGATTTGTGAAAAGAGTACTAGTCTATCATAAATAGTTTTTGAGTAATTTGTTAATAACTCCAACTTTTTAAAAATTTAATTTTGAAAATGTTGGGAATGAATTTTTATAGTTTTTAGTTAATTACTCGAAAACCAATTGACTTATTTTAAGTATTTTTACAAAAATAGGTTTAGTATGAATTTGTTAATCTGAATGATTTTATATTTGACAAATAATTAATCTTTATCAACAGTTATTAGACATTTAATGTAAATTTTGAGTGAATATTTTAAGAAATGTCACTTTAATTCGTTTATAACTTTTTATGTAGTAGCGTTATTAACAATACATTTGCGGAATTATATGCCAAATTTAGTACCTAACCAATTTCTGAAAAGATTATGACTTTATCACTAATATATTTTGAGTTATTTGATAATTAACTCAGCAACCTCAATTTCGAAATAAACATAATTGTGAATACCAATAAACAATGATGAATAACTCGAGTATCAATTAATATTTTGTAATTATTTATTCAAAAATCAAATCAGCAGTAAATTCTGATTCCAACTATAAACTTTTATAATGATAGCCATTTTTTATCAAAATTTACAAGCAAAATAGTGTACCCATCAATTTTTGTTCTAAACCGTATTTTAATTGCTTATAACTTTTTAGTCAATTATTAGATTGGTGAATTTTAAACTCAGATTAATACAGAATTCAATTAAGAATCCAGTATAAAATAATTAGTACGATTATAATTAATAGTTTAGAAGTTATTAATAAATTAAAGAAAAAAAGCATTCTTTTTTTGCTACTGCAGAACCCTGTGACAAAAAGCTGTTGTAAATTTGAAAAACATTAAATATAATGTCGAAATGATTATTTACACTGGAAAGATCAAAATAATAATTTCCCAGAACTAGATTTTAAATTCCTCTCTAAATAATAAATATTTAAAGCAAATTTTCTGCGCCCCTGTCAGAATGACTAAGATTGCAATAAATTCCGAGTGCGGCACAGTAAACGCCATACATTCCCAGCACGCAAGCGAACGGAAGCGAACAAGAAGCAGAGAGACCGTCCACGAGCATCATGAGCTCATTGCGCAAACATTTATGAAAATTGCAGCCCGCTCGCGCGCAGGGCCCCCGCACACTATGCATATCTATCACTTATGACGATGCGAGTGTGTTTTCAACAAACAGCGCCGAGAATAGAAAAGCGCGGTGCCAGCGCGCTGCCTTGGAACGAGATGATAAAGACAAATGCACGAATTAAGCGACGAGCAAAAGACTCGCAGCCCGTCTGCGACTAGTTATGTTGGCGAATATTAGAGTAAAACGTAGTATTAATGGCGGCGCTGGGGATGAGTGGTGGAGCGAATGTGGCGCACGAAATGTGTGGAGTGAATTTGACAATGTTATTGATGGCGGCTGAGTGCGCCTCGCGAAAAACGCTTCTTGTGTGTGGTGTGTGTACGCGCGCGCTGCTTCAAACGAGGATGAATTGAAATTGTTTATTTAAAGTGTTGCGTTGTTTTATCAAGGAGATTCAAGCAATGAGGGTGGAAGTTGAGTGCAGATTTTTTTAACCTCAAAAAATTTTAGTTTTGATTAAATTTGCCGTGGAGAAAATGAGAAAAATAGAGTTTTTAAAGTTTTTTGCTAATTACTCGAAAACTAATTGACTTATTTTAATGATTTTTGTAAATATTTGTTTGGAATTTATTTTTTTATCTAAATTATTTTATGTTTATTACTTTCTTTGGTGAATACGTAATCCATGTTGTATATTTATAAAAAATATTTATTTATTAAACATTATACGTGATTTTGGATTTACAATTGTAATTTACAATTGTAAATTGTAAATTGTACAAGGTATTTACTATTGTAAATTGTACAATTTACAATTGTAAATTACAATTGTAAATCCAAAATCACGTATAATGTTTAATAAATAAATATTTTTTATAAATATTTTATGTTTGGTGAATAAAAGTTTTTTACCAACAATTATTGGACATTTAGTTAACATTTTGGTATAAATTTTTAGAAATGCCACCTTTATTTGTTTATAACTTTTTGTGTAATGTTGTTATTAACAATATCTTTACGGAATTATATTCCAAATTTAACTAGTTACAAATTTGTAAAAAGAGTATCAGGTTATCGCAAATAGTTTTTGAGTAATTTGTTAATAACTGCAACTTTTGAAAAATTTAGTTTTGAAAATGTTGGAAACGAATTTTTATAGTTT